CAATACCAATGCAAATATAAAACTTTTTTATTTTTGACTTTTTCGTTATCAAACTTTTACCAATTAATTCTTGACATTTTTCCGATTAAAATGAGACCAAACACGGTATAATTTGGACTATATTTACTAGTTTAATTGACGATAAAAGTTTCTAACGCAGAGGAGGATAGCGAGTCAGAAAGAAAGAGACGCTACGATCGTGGCAGTCGGCAAAGATCAAAAGTCTGTTCGATTGTTTGCAATACTTGAGCATTGCTAATTTTTTTATTTTTCATCCATTTTTTTATACAACTTTCTTCATCATATTCGTGACATTTTCCTGACTAAAATGAGACCAAACACGACGTAATTTGAGTTATATTTACTTGCAATATCTTATTAGAGTAAAATCATCGATGTACGCGTAACACTTGAAATTACAAGTAAATATGTCCCAAAGTATACCGTGTTTGATCTCATTTTAACGAGAAAAATGTTACAAATATGATGGAAAAAATTTCAACAACAAAAAATCGGAAATAAAAAAGTTTTATTCTTGCATTAGGAGTGTCCTTCTAGTAGGTCGCTGTTTGTTTATGTTCGGTCTCATTCGCTCGAAATGTAGCACCTTTACGATATATGCAAACGGCGAGCGTGTTATTTTTCTCTTCTGTCCTTTTCTACGTTCGGCAAGACATCAATCAATGTAGGACCTGTACGATATACGCAAATTCTCAGACCCGAAAGATTTGCTTATACAGTATTGCCTCGAAACAAGCAACACGCTTGGGATCGGCCAGATGCTTATTTCGAGGGTGGTATGCTATTCGGCTTGCCTTTGTTCCCGAGCGCGCCGACGGTAGCGGTAAACTAGAAAGTGATCGGTCGAGCAGCAATGTTATTCTTTAGGCAAGGACAGAACATAGCATGCTTTCCCTTTTTAATAGTAGTAAAATTTCGTGAATAGGAACATGTACATAATACATACATATTGCCTCGAAACAAGCAACAGTTTCGAACCTCGAAATTAGCAACTGGCCGGTCCCGAGCGAGTTGCTTGTTACGAATCAATGTAGAATCAAATAAATGGATCACGCTCCAATTCCTAACTAGTCACGCTTCGCCTTATTTTTTTATAATTATGTGAATATCAGCATACAGCTACATATGTATGTGTTGTGTTATTATTGTGTTAGTTATTTTTAATAACTAATACATCAATACTAGTTTTACTGAAATAACAAAGATATTTGAGTTACATATGTAATCGACGGAATATTTTTATTATTCTTTTGATTTTTTTTATCTCGCGCGTTAATGTTTCGCCACAGTAATTTTTCCCCATCTTCCTCGAAAAATCGGCATAGTTGCTAGGATACATAGAAAGGAGGCATGGAATATAAAATAATAAATAAAATGGAATATGAAATTCTTAGAGCATTCACTTCGTCACTTCGTTTTCTCGAAAGCACGTCGTCTTGTTGAGAGCAATTGACTACGCAGTTATAACTGTTATAAGTATTTGTTTAGCAGCATAAATTCAAGTTTCTTTTTTAACAAATATCTTTGGAAATAAAACATTAGATTTACGATGGGGTTCGTCACGGTCACGAAGGGAGCTAGCAATTTGTACACAGGAATAACATGTGGCCTGCTCGTTGCTAGCGCGTTTATGGCACGCAAATACTAGGGCTGTTTTTGAGAGTCTTTTTATATTTTTAAATTTACGATTTGTATGTCCAAGTTTTTTTGACGGTCTCAACAGTTAATTGCCAATGCCATAAATGTGAATTTCCGGAGGGTCATAGGACAGGACCTAGGAGACATTAGCCAGGTCACCCTTGTTGACAACCCAAGGAGTCCTGCCTGGGGCCCACTGTCTCCTTTACTACCTCCACGCGACACACCTAACTCCGCGTGGACAGTGCTAAGGACATACGGGGTTGGATATTGTCGTTTAAAAACGTCTCGATTGGCAAAACAAGACACCAATCAGGACAACCACCCCGTTTTCCGAGCTTTCCTCCTCAGGAACTAGTTCTGAAGGAAACAGTCTTAAACCATCTTACGAACAGCCTTAAACAGCCTACAATCACTCCTCCGCGATCTATAATCCAGTGTGTTACAACAGTCGAACTTAGAACCTTTTTTTTGTCCTTCGTGATAATAATAGTATTTTAAGTATTGTTGTAATTATGGCAGAAAAGCAAAATAAGAAAAGAGTTTTTCTGCCTGTGAGCAAAAAAATTAAAATTGTGGAAGAGTTAGAGCAAGGAGTGTCGATGCAAACATTGTGCAATAAATATGCAGTTTCGCGAGACGTTATCTATCGGATTCGTCGAGAATGTGGACAGCTGAAACATTTCGCAATTCGGAGAGGGCATCATAAAAATCGCAGGACGTCTTCAAACGAAGACTTAGAAAACAGATTATATACGTGGTTTCTGGAACAACGTGCAATGGGAAATCCGCTAACGGATTTGCTGTTACAAGAAAAGGCGAACGAATTGTTCCAGGAGCACGGATCCACGTCCGTTGCCGGAAGCAGGGGCTGGTTGCATAACTTCAAGAATCGGTATGAAATTAGACTGGTATGGGCACATGACGAGCAAGCAAGTGCCGATAGTGAAAGTGCACAACAATTTACAGAAAACTTTGCGAAGCAAGTGAAGGAAGATAATATTGACTTGTGCACGATATATAACATGGACGAAACGGGGCTGCTATGGAAGGCAGTTCCATCAAAGAGTTTGGTGTGTTCTGAGGAAGGAAAATTGGCAGGAAAAAAGCTGAAGAAAGATAGAGTGTCCATTGGATTGTGCGCCAATGCGAACGGAACACATAAACTGCCTCCTATATTTATTCATAAATATAAAAGTCCGCGAGCATTAAAAAATGCAAATGAACTACCAGTCTTATATACAGCACAAAAACAGGCGTGGATGAATGCTGAAATTTTTAAGAACTAGTATCACAACCACTTTAAGCCCAGTGTCAGGCAATATCAGTTGGAAAATGGAGTAGTAGGAAAAGTGATATTACTCGTTGACAATTGCTCCAGTCACAAAGACAGGGAACCAGAGGAATTGTTCGAAGTTTTGTACCTACCTCCAAATACTACATCTCTCATTCAGCCAATGGACCAGGGTGTTATTGCAAAGTTCAAGACATTGTACCGACACCAAATTCTACGTCGTATTTTGCAATACGAAAAGAGAATGGAAGAATTTTACAAATCATTTAATATAAAAGACTGTATAGATCTAGTCAACAAATCCTGGATGGATATTACCGCAACAAATATATACAATAGCTGGAGCAAAATTCTACCAAGAGATAACAAGGACGAGGATGAAACAAATCCAGATACTTTAAATATTTCTATTCACTCTTCTGTGAGTAAGATGATCTAATCCATAACTGGTGAAAATACTAGCTACGACGACTGCAAGCAAATCTTAGAAGCTTTGGCTACAAATAAAAAATGAAAACAATTGTGCAATCGAGAGAAAGAAAAAAAAATTAGAACTAATACTAAGCATTATTGAAGAATTTGCAAATAATAATCAGGCAACAATAATGATGGGGCAAACAATAAAGAAAATTTTAGAGAACGAACCGCCACAAATAAAGGACGACTAATATTGGTAAGGTAAAATTAGAATCTGTCAGCTAAAAATGAAGTAAAATGAAAACAAAATTAATTTAAATCCCGACCTATTTAAAGAAGAGATCTTTGAACATGAAAATTAATTATATCCTTTTTTTACAGATTCATTGTACTGGCGCGTCTTTCCTGCCAAACCGCCTTCCTGTGAACCGAAGATTTCCTTGTATATTTATTATATTGTATATATTGCTTGTATATTTATTATAATGTATATATTGTGTATATTATTGCGTATTGTATATGTATAATTCATATAGTATTATTATATTGTATATTCTATATACTGCATTACTCTTAAATAATGTTTCGTTTGGTTGTTAAATAGATTTATTAAAATTATTAACCAGCCATTACAATTAAAAAAAAAACAAACCAGCACTACAATTTCAGAAAATATATTTTTGGTAATACTCCAAAATCGCTATATGTTAGAGTGAGAAAGCAATACATTTATTACACTGAAATAATTTTTCCTCCAATTTTTTTTTATTTCTGTTATATAAATTAATTAAAATTATAGGTAAAAATATGCCTGAAATTATTGATCGTTGCCAACCATTAGATTTAAAAAAAAAAGCATATTGATATAATATAATTTCGGAGAATATACTTTTCATAATACGACAGAATCGCTATGCATCAGAGTGAAAAAACAATACATATGTTCTGTCCTCTTTCCACTATACTGTTCAGTCGACCGTGAAAATTTATGACTTCTTCGGTTTCGCGGACCTCTCACTCCTTCTCGGATCTCTCACTCGGCGGCGGACTTCAATCAAAGAAGTGGGGATAAAAATTTGCTAATTTCGAGGCTCGAAACTATTGCTTGTTTCGAGGCAATACTGTATAGAATATCCACGTCGTCGCACGACGTCACAATATATATACAGATACTAGGGGTGTTCAAGAAACGGTCAAGGATCGCTCCAGAAATTCCCAGAACGTTTGTGTTTTGCTTTTAAATTTGACGAACGATGTCTCGACGAGCTTCCCTTCCGTTTGTGTACTTCCCGCCTCGTAGGCCTCGGGGAGAGTGGTGCGGAGCGGGAGGGCAGCCGCGAGACATCGTGAAATTTCGAGTAACGCCAAAGTTCTGGAGAGTTCCTGGAAGACCAGTATAAAGGGAGGGGTAATCGCGATCGAGTGTAGTACGTAAATAGAAGCGAGCGAGTAAACTTTTGGCATTGAGGGTGCTGGCACAACTGGCTAAGGATGAAGGAGGTCGTTTTCCCCTTGGAGCTCGAGCGATACAACGACATACATATGTCGACGATATTCTAGCCGCAGCGGATGATTTAGAAAATGCATTCGAATTAAAACGCCAGGTTATATCTATCTTTAGAGCTGGTGGATTCGAACTAAGTAAGTGGGCTTCGAATCTACCGCAGCTTCAGGAAGAGGACAGTACTGAATCCCACCGCTTTCATGAGAAAACAGGAGTTAGTACCTTGGGTGTAATCTGGTGTCCCCGCGACGACACTTTTTCTCTTCGGGTCGCCGGTCCAATGAGCCAATCGGATAAAATCTCAAAAAGATCGATCCTCTCGGAGGTGGCGAGCTTCTTCGATCCACTGGGCTGGACAGCACCTGTGTTAATTTACGCCAAAATATTATTACAAGATCTCTGGCTACTCGGTATCGATTGGGACCAAGACCTACCTGAAGCTATCCAAACCACTTGGCACTCCTTCAGGACCTCCCTTAGCCAGCTCGACGCTCTTTCAATTCCACGCTGGACTCGCTACTTAGGAGATCGCACCGAGAAGGTGGAGTTGCACGGGTTCTGCGATGCATC